CAATATTGTGTTACCAACTTACCACTAGAACAGATAGCCCTAACTTGGGTAAAACCTCCTACATGTGCTTATCATACCTAGATTATCTTGCATCTCATACATAGATTATCCACATGCGCATTGCGTTCACAAAACTCCCAAATCATGAGCATTGCCACGAAATCCCTGCAACAGCACAACTTTATGTTTTTTCCGAATAAAAGTTGCATTCATCATTCTCAGAATTTATTTTAACAATACAAAAAGGATTTCCCTTGAGTACGGAACATTCTTCCCAAGAGCTCAAAAGAATTTCCTAATAACAGACAAAAACGAAGGAATGTTGGGATATTAAAAGTTTCACAACTCATGAGCTTGTGGAGATATGTAGATAGGTACAGGTAAGAGGGGAATGGGGCTACAAAAGCATAGGCAACTGGAGGGCGAGACTGAGCACGCGAGTGTTCCTTTTTCTGTGTAGCTCTTTCCAATATCCTGCGCTTACAGGGCATTCGCCAGGGGAGAGAGGTTACGGGTTAACATGTCTGCTCCCTAATAATCTCTCCCCCTTGAGTTCCGTTGAGGGGACCACCACTAACAAACCATAGATTTACACTTCAGTCTGTAACTTCTTCCATGCCAAAACAATCTGTAAGTGTAGCCTTTTCTATCTCTTTCTTCGTCGTCCCACAGCTCAAAATCAGCACCACAAAGAACCCCAGCAATCTCACTAGTATGATGCTCCTTCTGTTCATTAGGTAGCCAGTGCAATATAAGCCCAGCCATTAAAGCAGGAAGTACCACAACCATAGACAAGTATCCAACAATTATGGGCCCAATCACAAGAAGTCGCGTCAAACTGATAAATGACCAGGTGAACGCTAACTTAAGTTTATCTTGTAACCTTTATGACACAACTATGATTTCATCCCCATTGTTGTTGGTTGAACATAGGTATTGCATGGAAGAAATCGAACAACCTATTAACTCTTGAAGCAACCCGTTTGGAGAAACAAGTTTCAAATGAAGTTGATGCTATCAGTTTTACCTCTGATGTTTTGTTGTGTCACACCCATTTGGTAGAGAGACGGGGCCATCGAAGTATATCACTAGAAGCTTCATCAAATTTACTTTCCAATGCAAAAAACCTCGTATCATATGGAGTTGTGAGTCAAAATCTCTAGTCATTATCGTGGAAGGTGTCCAGGCTGTCAAGGCTTCGCGAATTCCCGAGAAGCTCTTCTACAACTGCCAAAGTTGACCGCTTATTCCCCCAAGGAAGCCATGCAAAGATGCTTGCTTTTGAATTCTTTTCACACCTAGCTAAGGGGAGTTGTCCATGCTATAAAGCCCCATCTCACCCATCCATTTAGAAACTTTTTGTCAAACCATTCAGCTACAAGCTTATGCAGCAAGACTGCTACAGAGATCTTAGAGATCCTTGCTACCTTTTCTCTTGTGAGTTCATCCGAATTCGTGAGAAGGAGCCTCTGGTTCCCCCTAATTTGTACTCTACGGTTACGGTCATTTTGTGTGGGTTAGCCCCGGTTTATGGTTCTGCAATTGTTCGGATAGCGGGTTGAAGTTGTAGTACCTTCGGTCAGCCATTCCCAACATACGGGTTGCATCCAACCTTGGCGGGTATAAAGCTAGTTATCCCGGCTGCTTGCAGCTAGTTATCCTCCTCGATTCGATCCTACGACGCGAAGACCGGGCGACCCTCGGGCATGAACTCGTTCATCGGGTTTGTACGTATCAACCATGAAACATTCTTCTTGCACTTTTGTGAGTAGGATCCAGTACAAATGACAAGGCTCCCGTTGTTAGAAGCGATGCCTCGAAACTAAACCATTCAGATGTTAGACCCCCTACAGATTAAGCATCAGTTAGTTCCATGAGTAACATCTCAAGTTTATTACAAGTAAAGGAAATTAGAGAACCTATATGCATGATTACTACTTACAGTTATATGCAATTAACCCCAACAGCAGCATGTAGAGACAATTTATGAGTGATACCCATGCGGTTCTTTTACCGGTAGGATCAGCAAAAGAGAGCATTCGGTACCTGAATCAACAAGTCAATCAATGTAAAGGCATGTAACATTTTGATCTAACTTCTACAGTAGGTAGATCTGGTAATAACCAGTTTGAATTAATAATGGGAAAAGTATATTTTCGTCCCTCAATTATTTCGAAAGTATAGAGATGGTCCCTCAACTTCAAAACCAGCAAACTTTAGTCCCTCAACTTTTAAAACCGGATAAGTTTAGTCCCTCATACCGCTTTTGATTTTTTTGCTGATGTGGAGTGGTTTTTTGATTGAAACTACGTGGGACTTGCATGTCAGTGACTAAATAAATAAATAGCTTCAAACAAAATGCACGCAGCACATCAGGTTCGAAAGCAAGACCTTATTTTTAAAACAAAATGAACGTGCTAACCACTGCAACAAAGAAGCGTTGTATGAAAAAACAGGTAGGCATCGCTTTATATATATACGTTAGATATCAGACATGTCTCACGCCAACAACTAATCTAAAAGCGATTTCCATTTTCCTTTATTCCTAATTAAAACTGAAGAAAAATAGTTATGCCATGCTGTGTATTTTCCCTTGTTTTTTGCTTGTGCGTATGTTTACATTAGGGGTTACAAAAAAAAAAGACTTGTAGGTTGATTTGTGTGTATCTTTTTTTTACTAGGTGTTGCAGTTCAGATATATATCCGCTGTAAATGTGCGTTCCTACAAAGAATAGACTCCTATTAAACTTGCCTCTAAAGTTAACCACAAAAACTGCTTGGTTCGTTAGCTAGCTCACGTGCACCCAGCATGACGTCCCGAGTTCAGGTCCACTTTGCACATATTTCTTCCGTCACTGACAAGCAGGCCCACGTAGTTTGAGTTAGAAAAACACTCCACGTCAGCAAAAACCAAGCAAATGTGGTATTAGGCACTAAACTTATCCGGTTTTAAAAATTAAGGGACTAAAGTTTGCTGGTTTTGAAGTTGAGGGACCATTTTTATACTTTTGAAATAATTGAGGGATGAAAAACATACTTATCCCATTAATAATTAATAATTCAAACTTGGAATTAAGTCTACCTACCCTCCAGTAGGTAGATCGGATCACCCGGCAATAGATTGGGCAATGGTTCATGTTGTACGAAGGCAGGAAAGGGCTTTGTCTGTTCATCGATAACATTCTATGATCAAGCCTAATGAAGATAGTCATGGACCCTTGGCACAAAGTCCAATCCCAACCAAGAAGTTAGGTGAGCCATCTGAAGGACCTTTTTTTGCCGAACTATATGCAAAACACGGCGAGCAGTCGTGTGGTTGATGTGAAAACCAAATACAACCGAGGAGCCAGGTGAAGTATTTGTAGTTTTTTTACGTTGCTCATAGATAGGATTGAACACCATACTAGATAGAATAGTACTATGTCCATGTGCGGGAACTGGGTTTGTATGCATGGTCATGTGAAATATATTTCTTCAACATTTAAACTCCATCCACTCCCCATGACCCCCCCCCCCCCTTATCCTCTGGTCCTACTGTTTAATTAGCTTCTTCACACCTTCTGAAGCGTTGAATTCTACCTATCCTTCTCTCCTTTCTTCTTCTAGTCGCTTCACATGGTAGTTCAAGTTGAGACACCTTCTCATGATATATAATTTCCACATCTGATATACACTTTCCTCCTTTACCACTAAATTTATCCCCACTCACCTTTAGATCCATCTTTACTTCCCTCGTATGACTCAAGCCTATCTACTACTTGCTTTCTCTAATCCCCTTCTTGAATCACGATATAAGTGGGAGGGGAGAAATAAAACAAGAATGGATGGTGAGGGAGCATGCCCATTAATTGAGTTAGCCACAAGACATTGCACACCCTGCTCAACAGTCTAGGGTCTGCTCTTGGAGAAGTGCAACCTGAAGGAGTGAATCAGGGGATCAAGGGCCTCGAGAATGAGATTTGTTTTCACAAGGGGAATATTCATTTCAAGCCACTAGACATGGGAGGTATAGGGAAAGGAAGAGTAGCTTGAAATGGCAGATCTTTGACAAATTCCTTTCATATATGTTCATATTCTCCTGGGTAAACTAGTAGAGTCTTAAAAATAGTTTGCTAGCTTCTTGGAGTTTCTACGACCTTCCTCCAAGCTTCAGTATGTTCTTCTAAATCTGAATGACCCATAGCATTTGGGAACACGTAGGAGGGAGCTTGTGTATGACTGACATATGCTTGGACACCATCTCGGAACATCTGTATGTGTACACCATATGTTTCACTGTCTCATTGGTAGACAATCTCCCTCATCCTTAGCCGGAAATACAAATTAGAAGAAAATCATCGCCTTTGTGTCTTTACAGAATATTGCACTGAAAATGTTGCAATAGCCATCTTGGCCTCGCAACTGCACTATCATGTGAAATCAAAACCCACTTTCAAACTGGACAGGAATCGTCCACCACATGCTAGCAAATTGCGCCATCAACAGATAATCAACACGTCACACATGGTAATTGAGGCGCAGCGCGGCATCCCCACATGTCCCATCCAGTCGACTGTAGCGGCAATGTGGCTTTTGGACAAATTCCGTCCGCTCTACACAAGACGAAGTCAGGATAGAATCTAGACAAGACTTACAAGATCAAGAGACACATACCGTAACCATATCGTTCATACGAGAAAAAACATCCAACAATAGTGTTACCACTAGAACAGGTGGCCCTAAGTTGGGTAAAACCTTCTACGTGTGCATCCCATACCTACATTATCAACGTGCAGATTGCATTAAACAAAATTTCCAAATCATGAGCATTGCCGCGAAACCCCTGCGACAGATCAACTTTATGTTTTTTTCCAAATAAAAATTACGTTCATCATTCTCAGATTTTTATTTTAGCAATACAAAGTGGATCTCCCTTGAGCAGGACATATTCTTGTGGAAGAGCGGAAAAGAATTTCCTGATAACAGAAAAAAAAGGAATGTTATGATAAGTAAGGCATTCATTACTCATGAGCTTGTGCAGATATGTACACAGGTACAGGTAAGAAGGGGAATTGGGCTACAGAAGCATAGTCAACTGGAGGGCGTGATTGAGCACGATAATGTTCCCGTTTCTGTCTAGCACTTTCTTCGTCGTCCCGCAGCTCAGCAACACAAAGAACCACAGCGATCTCAGTAGTCTCATTGGTTAGGCAGCCGATGCAATATAAGTCCAGCCATTAAAGCAGGAAGATACAAAAGGCTACCATGGAACATTCTTCTTGCACTCTTGTGAGTAGGATCCAGTACAAATGATAAAGCTCCAATGGTAAGGCCCGTCGTTAGAAGTGATGCTTCAAAACTGAACCATCCAGATGTTAGACCCCCTACAGATTAACCATATGTTAGTTCCATGAGTAACATCTCAAGTTTGACCAAGTTTATTTGTTACAAGTAGAAGCAAATGGAAATTATTAGAGAACCTATATGATTATTGGTACTTACAGTTATACCCAATATGCATGATTACATATCCCAAGTTTGACCAATTTTATTACAAGTAATGGAAATTAGAGAACAAATATGCATGATTACTACTTACACTTATATGCAAGTAACCCCAACGGCAACATGTAGAGGCAATTCCTGAGTGATACCCATGCAGTTATTTTACCACTAGGATCAGCAAAAGAGAGCATTCGGTACCTGAATCAACAAGTCAATCAATGTAAAAGCCTATAACATTTTGACGACACTAGGTAGATCTGGTAATAACCAGTTGGAATTAATAATTGAGTTACCCTCCAGCAACGTAGTCGTCACAGCATAAGTACGCAAGGGCCATGAAATGTGATAACTGCCAAAAGTACAAAGCAGTAGGCAGAATCATAGAGTTGAGTGACACTTCTGATGCTGCTACTGCCCACCTGTATCATGATAAAAATAAGGACCAGATGCCATGTGAACATATTGCACAGCTCCATTCAATAAATAAACAGGGGTGCTATAATATACAGAATATATGCCCATGATGCCTATAAGCAACCCCCTTTTTTATTTGCTTGCTTAACATGTCAGTGTATGACCTGAAACAGCCTCCAAGGCAGCGGTATCATCAGTTTGGTGCTTTATGTTAGCAGCCATGGATTTGAGAGTAGTTCATAACTTCAATTTGTTTGTTTAAGCTGGTAGGTCCAGATGTATCTACGATATATATGTTGCTTTTATTCGGACGGGTCTGATATGGCCTTGGGTGCACAAGCCAGCAGGAAATAGGCTTACCGGTGAAGGCATTGGAGAGCTTATGCTAGAGATAGGAAAGGTATGAAAAGGAGTAATTCAAGTAGTAATTGTCCTTGTTGGATACAGTTGGGTCCATTACAAAAAGTGTAGTTAAATTAAGAAGAGCCTAGCTGAGTATAAACCATAGTAAAAAAGAGGCAGGCCTAGGCACTAGGCAATAGCATAATTGTGCTTAAGCATGTGCTTTGGTCAAAAAAGCTCAAGGCGGTGGCAAAATTCACAATTAGGAAGGACTTGCTCCAATATTCGACATATAAAATACCCCCCTTCAACCTGCACCTAGACAATCCAGACATGTGTCATCAGCACTAACATTCCCTAGAAGTGGCGGAATGGCCCCAACAACTGCTCCCACCCATGTATTGACATGGTGTATTTGCTTCAGTGGAGTGTATACAAATGCATACAGGATGAGATTGGATGCTGCAAGCCCAGCAGCTAAGTAATTAGCCTGCAAGACATTGCCAAAATTTCACGATGTTTAGTTCCAATAACAGCATAATACCAACTACAGCGACCGTACACAATTGAAACAAAGTGTAGAGAAAGTACAGGCAAACGGCAAAGAGTCGAACCTTGCAAGCCAATAATGTTGTTCCTGCAGCTCCAACACTTGTAGCCCACATGGCAGCATGCACAGGACTAATACGCCCTGATGGTAGGGGCCGTCGCATTGTCCTTTTCATTTTAGCATCATTCTTTACGTCGAACACCTGAAAAGGATGTCGATGCACCATGTTCATCGTCTCTAAGCGTGATAACCAGGTTGTATAATGATATCTATAAGTCCCAATAGATGTAAATATGTAGGAAAATCAGAATAACTTCTCAAAAACTTGTAGTGAAGTATGAGATTGCGCGACGATGAACACAAGGATTTCAAGAATGTGAACACAATGAATATTGGTTTGGTTAACCATCCTGCCAATGGAAAAGGCTACCACAAAAAACAAGCCCATACCTGGTTGAGAGTGTTGGCAGATGCTGCAACCATCATGGTACCAGTGCATGTGTAGCAAAGTCCAGCAATGTCTACAATGCTGCCACTCCCGAGCACATATCCAGCCCCCGATGTTGCCACAACAAGTGCACTAGATACCATAAAGAAGGGAACATAAAATAAAATAAAATAAAATAAATGCAATAAGAGAACAAATAATTCGCCATTTACAAGGAGTTCCAAGATGCAAGACACAGACCATGGCAAACTCATATATATTACCATATGCGGACAGATTGCAAGAAGTTGAGTGCCATTACAATTTATGAAATCTGATGAATGGCAAAAACTAATGATACTAAACACCTTTTGACAAAAACAAACAGGACGTAGTTAAATGCTAGTTCACTTTTACCACTATGAAGGTCATCTTAGATTTTCAGGGCACACTAAACCACTAATCGACCACTATGCATACATTGTCAAGGTGAACCAACCAGGCCTGTAATGATTTGGCAGCGGCCACAATCTGCTATCTAGGATCTCCATCGCGCACAAAAGTTTTGGCCAAGCTCTAACATTTCAGGACATGGGTCCAAAAAGCACAACAAAAATGGATGGTGAAGCAAGAAACAAGAACAAGAAGAGGAGAGGTCATGTGTCAAACAAACCCAGTCTGCAATACACTTACAATTCCATTTCTACATCATATAATTCCCAAATCACCGAGCAAGTAAAAAAATTCATTTCTTCAGAATTTAGCCACAAGAACTGAAGAGCATATTTTCTTTACTTGATTATGAAAAACATCAAATGTGAAAGGAAACGGGAGCAAATCGCGCACCTGAGGCGGGCTTTGGAGAACTCCCAGTAGCACCGCCCTTAGTGCCGCGGCACATCGGAGGCAGAGGCGGCAGTGCACCTGAGGCGGGCTTTGGAGAGCTCCCAGTAGCACAGCCAGTAATGCCGCAGCACGTTGGAGGCAGAGGCGGCACTGGCGTGGCCTCTCCACATGGAGGCAGGGGCGACGGCGAACGACGAGGAGGCCAGAATGATCGGGTGGCTGCTTTGGCCCAAAGAGCTTCTCCTTTTTTTTTCTTTTTCGGAATGAATGAACTAAACTTTTAGAGAGCGCCAAGGCACTAATTATACAACCCCAGGGCACTCATTATACAAACCCAGAGCCACTAATTATACAACCCCAGGGCACTCATTATACAAACCCTAGGGCTCTTATTGCCATCTCTGGTTTGATTAGGTGTGCAAGTATACAGATCATGTGTGCTGCCTAGGCCTAACTACTTACCTAATTATTACTCCCTCCGTTCCTACATATAAAGTCTTCTTAGAGAATCCCTATAGAGTCTCTAAATATAAGTCTTTTTAGAGACTCCATGGGAAGTCTCTAAAAAGACTTATATTTAGGAACAGAGAGAGTAAAATACAGCTCAAGAACACATCATTGGAATACAGATGGGATGTGCCCCCTGGTTGCCTAATTAGACAGATCAAGAACACATGACCAAAAGTACAATAGGAAATTATACTAGCACTCATCTACTTGCGTCAACCCTGTAACAGACAGGAATGGATCAAGAAGACATATTTCTTTACTTGACTTGCATGCACCGGCCGGCGGGTGTAGAAGGTATCCACCCTAGTTCACCGAGTTGTTCACCGAGTTGCCTTCACTAGTTAAGCGTCAACCCTACCACTGGAGTCGTTCACCGAGTTGCCTTCCGTTTATGGTGCACCGGCCAGCCGGTAGCATACATGCTCATGATTAATTGTTCAAAATCACTAGCTAAGGGTTACTCTTTGCAAATGTGACTTCCCACCTCCTCTGGTGTTGTGCCACTTGTCACTTACACATGATATAGCTTTGAATTTAGATTTCAGCCCATATTGCATCTCATCTCGTTTTACTTCGATTTTCGACAACCAACACACACACACACACACACACAGACAATGTTCCACTAGTAGTTATCACCCAATAGTCTTCTACTCTACAGGATATGTAAAAAGATGTGAAATAGTAACACATAGTGTATATTACAGTGAACTGTACGTGCTGCAACCACACCACACCATAGCTAACAGTGGCGGCCAGCACCACACAAGAACAGAAAAGAAAAGAAAACAGAGTAACTTCACACTGAAGATCTCCCTTGAAGAGGGCAACTATACCGATTGCATTGATCATTTGTATACGTATGAGCAACCCTGCAAGGAATCAACACATTCACAAGCTCAAATAAGACGAACATACGAAAATTTCAATCTTTTACCCTAACAAACCAACAGAAATCAAGATGCAAAAATTGGTTCCGGAAACGTACATACTATCCGTATCGCTGTTCAGTATTTGTGCTTTGATGAAACCACATATTTCCAGGAGTTTGGCTCCCATAGTTTAGGCCCTGACAATGGAAACCAATGTCAGGGTCTCTATGAAAAAATAACTGCACCCAAGCCAAAACAACATAACTATCCAAATACATGGTAGAAGACCAGCATGTGGGCAACGAAGCCGAAGTAGTTAGCACCATTGAAAGTCACTGCCTCACCGGGCAACAAGGGGCGGAAACCTAGACGAACAACAAAGACAATGTATCTGTTTTTCTTTTTCTCTTTTTGGTGGAGGAGACGCTAGGTTAAGCCATCAAGCAAAACAATGGCCGGCCACAAGACGGAAGTACCGATGACAGCTGGACCCAGATCCCTAACATAGAAACTCTTAACATATTTTGACACCCAAGACAAGGAGTACTAATAGGAGAAATACTTTAGGGTACTTGTACAAACTATCTGTCCGCAACAGAAAAATTCAAACAATGCATGAAAGAGTACAGACCAAATAAATCACAATAATCATGAAGCAATTAACCTATCCTTAGGCATTACTGGTCATTTTTAGATGTACATTCCAGTTTATCAGGATACCAGCCATGAGGGTTGACAACTAGAATTAAGGGCTTGACTTAACCAAGATGAGATCAAGGGTGGCTATTCAACTAATAGCTGTTTAAGCTTTCACATGTAACGTTGCCATTTAGTGTGCAGATAACTGTGTGATTAAATAACTACACAGGTATATTTTGAATTGTCCAGTGCGTCAATAAAATACTCCTATAATACCTGTCAGAAGTAGTAAAAATAACCTTCACATGTAATGTTGTTGCTGGCTCCTCCGCAACTGCAGCTCAGCTGCGAGCTGAGAGCACTTCCTTCTTGTTTCCTCTAGTTCATGCTCCAGGTCACCAATCTACAAAGATTCATCAGATCTTATCAGGTGGCACGATATGATCTCCTTCCCTAACTAATTGCTTCAAATGTTATGGCATACCGTCTCCTTCAACTGTGTACCTCATTGCCGAAGATCTTTATGTCTGTAAAGGATGTTTTCAAGTTCAGCTTGCAAAGAACAAAGTGGTAATGTGGATTTCAGGCAATAACACAGCACTAACTAGTCCTATTGGTTGAAAAATGGCAACCCACGTGTTAAGAACAAGGCAAGTGTTAAAAGTGAGAACAGATATATATAGCCTTCACACAAAATTCAACATATGAGTAGGTGGTTCTCTCTCAGAAAATAAGTAGTGAAAGTGTAGGCACATTCTGATGGCTCTCTCTCTAATGGAGATGGAAGTGGAGGGGTATATATAGCCTCCACGCAAAATCCAACCGTTACACACATTTGACCCAACTCGGCCAGACCGAATAAAAGAACTCGGTGAGACCGATTTAGTTCAAAATGTGAACGTTAGAAATCTCGGTGGGACCGACATGATCAACTCGGTGAGACCGATGTGCTAGGGCTTAGGGAAAACATCAACTCGGTGGCACCGATTGCATCAACTCAGTTAGACCGAAGTGAGGAAATGAGTCAACAGAAAAAATGTCAAGCAAACTCGGTGGGACCGATTGCACATTTTGGTGAGACCGAAATAATTACAGCATACAATAGAGAGTTTGCAAGGCCATCTCGGTGAAACCAAAATCCATATTGGTGAGACCAAATTTTCTAGGGTTTCTGGCAGTGGCTATGTCAACTGAACTCGGTGGCGCCGGATAGATCAAATCGGTGGGGCCGAGTTTGACTTTGGATTTTGGACAAATGTGGAAATGACAAAGTGGCTAAGGGTTTTTGGAGCAATATCACTAAGCACTTGAGCAAGTAGACCATTAAGCAACACCTCATCCCCTTTTAATACTATTGACTTTCCTATGGACTCATTGTGATCTGATCACTAAAATAAAAATGAAGAGTCTTGAGCTTTTACCAATCTTTGTCCTTAGCATTTTGAGGGTCCACAACTCTAGTCCATGCCATGCCAATCATTCAACTTTATGAAATATTTAACTTGAATTGATATTGGTTAAATGAGCTATATGTTGTTATGAATTACCAAAACCATCTGGGGATTAGTTGGACTTTCAAATAGTGTGCAACATAGTTTCTTCAAACCCTTGGGCGTTCTAGGATTCTCATTTCTTTTGTATATCCAAGAGCACGATGATGGATTGAGTTCCTTCATTGCATATTCATGGTAGGTTGGTCGACATGTTGCTGAAGCTGGTGATGTGCTTCTTAGTCTCACTCTCATCTCGAGACTGCTAGTAATCTCAATGTTCATTTCTTTACATAGGTCGATAACATTCATGAGGAAATTGTTCCTGATTGGTGACCTAAAAGGGGCAAAACATAGTATGGCCGTCTTTTGATATAGATACTCCTTGTCTTGTGGAATAGCTCAATAATATGAAAACATCACTCAATTCTTCTAGGAGCTGTTTGGTTGTCTAGATGCTTTTCATGTTCAGACCCCCCCCCCCCTCATTAACTTCCCTTCCCCCCTCACCAAGCTTCTCCATAGTTGAAAAGAGCATAAACAGAGATAAAAAATGGAGAGATATTGTACCTGTGCAATTTTAATTGATTTTCATGCAACTACATCATGGCACAAGCCAACATTGGTAGCACTATGTGCAACAAAACACAGAAAATGTGCAAATATATAAGAGAGAGCATATGAGCGGCGTTTTGGCTCCTA